CAGCAACCCCCTAACTAAAGCCTTATCAGCTTGCAAGCCTGACTGGTCAGCCCCCTATTTTGGGGGTGAGAACTGAGCACCGAACCCCTCTCCCTAGAGGGCAGTGAGCCCTGTGGATCTTGAGGTCAGGAAATCCCTGCTCCCTCTGCCAAGGTCAGTGTCCATCTTGGCTCAGCTTTTTGGCTTTTTGTGTGTGCTTGTCAGATGGAGCCAGACAGTTGGGAAACAAAGCACATCTCCATGGAAACCCACCTCTGCCATAGAATCTGGGCAGTTCAGTGGTTTTGTGGCCCCTTCTTCAGGCCAGAGCTCGGATGGGGGTGGATGGCAAGGATGAGTAATGAAACTTCTGCATATGTGCATTGCACCCCACCCGAACCCCACACCACAGCACACGCAGATACTTCCACACACATTCTTTTCCTAGGTGAAATCATCTGATGATGGGAAAATTGGTGTCTGGAGTGGGCAAGTGTCTTGCCCAAGGACACCCTGCAAGTTAGGGGCAGGACTGAGGTGAGAAGCAGCTTAGGCTAATTTTGTCACGAGCCGTTAAGTTGGGCTGGCTGGAGAACTCGTTTCTGCTCAGACTTCGGACTACAGCTTCTCCTGACACTTCTACCAAGTTGTTAAAACTTACCATTTGCCCCTGCTTGTCGACGAAGCTCAGTCCTTTCTAATTACTGACTAAAACAAACTGCCGTGGAAATAAATGGAATGCTGGCTCTCAGCTAAAACCATAACCATCACCTATAACTCAGGGCTTCAAATTTTTAGTCCATCAAAATGTCATCATTGTTTCTGCCGATTTACTTTGTGGTAAGTAAAGGTTATAAGTTTTGAGTTGTAAAATAAATTTGTACCTATAAAACAGTGCCTTTATCCATTTTATCTATGAGATAAAATTCGGGTAGCTTTTGTTTGAGGGGAAAGATAAAATTTCCAATGCAAAAAGTTTGAAAACCGCTTTTCTATACAAGGAGAGAGGCGATCTGATCACAGAATCTGGTCAGCCCGGAAGCCTGGCGCTCAGAGCTGGTCCTGGGAGGTAATTGCTGACAGAATGAAGGGACTAAGAATTTATTCCATGCGGGAGTCTGGGCAGTGGCAGCAGCCGCTTTTCCTTTCTCTCCTGTCTCCGCCCTGCTCTCTCGCCTCTTCCCCCTCCTCTCTCATACCTTCCCTCCCTCTGCCTCCTAGGACCTGGCACCAACTCGGAGCTGGGAGCCCACTGATTCCAGCCACACACCACTAACTCCTTGGGTTTATTTCACCTCTCAACCAAGCAGGGGAAATGGGTGGAATTAGACTTGGGGCCTGATTCTAAGAGATGCTGGGAGGATCAAAGAAGACCTCAGCAGCGAGACTGTTTGACATTAACATGCTGGCACAGATGCCAGGAGCCTCACAGTAGGGGACACAGGAATGCCCACCCTAGAGCTCTAACCTGCAGGGTTCTCCCTTCACCCTTGGGCTAGGGAGATGGGGGAGGTGCATCTGAGGCTAGGAGCCCCTTTCTCTCTTCTTCTCCCGCTAAAAAGGATCAAAGGATAGAACCTTAGATTTCATGCTGAAATAGAACCCCTTTGAGAAGCTGGTTAAAGCTGCGGACCCTTTACCCAGATAAACACGTGAAAGTGCGTTCAATGTGAATTGAGAACATTTCTGAAGGTTTCTGAAGGCCCAGATATGGCCCCAGGATAAATACTCCCCTTTTCCAGGTTCTTAACTGCCAACTCTTGAAAACAGCTTGTGTTGGGTCGGGGAGTGCCTGGCACAAAGCAGGGTCTCAGACACAGAGGCGTGCGCGCACACGAACACAAATCAGTTTTAAATTCCACCTCTGCCCCAGGTGGCTGTGTGACTGCTGGCAAGTCACTCCACCTCTCCTTAGGCTTTCTTGTCCATGGAATAGGAATACTATTAATCTCTCAACATCTTCAATTTTGCAGAACTGCCCTGCCCTCCGCTACAATTCCAGGCCCTCTAATTGGTCTAAGCACTGAGGGAAGCTACAGGGAAGCTACCCCTGACTGTGTGACTTGCAGGCTCTTGCCCTTCCTGGTGTCCCTATAAAATGAGGTAGGCCCAGCTGCACCTTGGCCTGGCTGCCCAGGCTGGAGTCTGTAGGGAGGAGGCCAGGCCCCTGCAAGGGACAAAGCCAGAGCCTGCCGGAGGCAGGTCTCCCAAGGCGGAGGGTGAGGGAAGGTTGGATGGATGTGAGGGGGATATTCTGGGTCATCCTGGGTTTTCCAAAAACAGAGGGGGCAAAGCTAGAGGGCAGGGGGAAGGGGCTGCTGCCCTAAACCTGGTTGTTGCTTTGTCTACCCTGGGGACAGGTTGACACTTCCTTTCTGGTCAGGTGACAGCCTAACTCCAGAATGGACTTTGGGCCCTGCCCATGAGGATGCTGGGAAGTCAGTTTCCTCAGCTGCTTGGTGAGGCCAGCAAAGGTATAGAGCTGAGCTGAGCACTCATGAATCCCGAGAGCAGGGTTGCAGGCCAACCCTTCCTAGGCAAGCCCTTAATGGGTGTCCTAGAAGCATGTCTGTCCATTAGGTCAGGGGATCAAAGGGAAAGCTGGGAGATGCTGGCTTGAGGTTGGTCCAGGATGGAGATGGGAGTTGAGAATGTCTGGGTGCTGCACTTAGGAACAGGGAAGGGAACATAACCTTGACCTCTCTCCACTCCTTACCTTCCTCCTCTGGCCTCCAAATCAGGGGACCTAACTTATGGGTTAACTCCTGGGCATTCTGGTTTGAGATGAGCCTTCAGTGAAAAATTACATGAGCCACGTGGTAGGGCCAACTTCACCATGTTTGGTTGAATGCTCTGCAATAGTTCTCTTGAAATTTTTAATAATTTTTGAACAAAAGGTCTTGCATTCTCATTTTGTACCGGGCTTTGCAAATTATGTAGGTATCTTGATCACTGGGAAGAGGGTGCTGGAACGGCTGACAGGGGTAAGACTAACCAGTATTTCTCTCCTGATCACTCCTCCCAAGAGCCTTCCTCTCTCCTTCGTACCCAATGCATCCAGACTATCCACCGGACCGAGGCCCTGCACACAGCTCTTTCCAAGCCTCAGCCCTGCCTGTAACACTTTCCCTTTGATGCTCACCAGCTGAGGGAGAGGCAGGGTCCTCAGGCCAGGGCAGAGAACATGAGGACAGGGCCCAATGTGATTCCTGTGCAAGGCAGGGCTTGAGCCAGAATGGGTGCTCTGGGGTTGTGGGCCAGACCAGAATGAATGGTTATTAGTTGGAAAACTGAAGCCCAGCCAAGAGAGTGATCTGCCCTAGACCCCCCAGGTGGGGAGAGTGTCAGTGATGGCCCAGGTTTGCCACAGCTGAGCCCCTGGGGAGACTCAGGGGGCTAAGGCAGGGTAAGGAAGTTACACTTTACACTCTACAATATAATAGTGAGTGCTGTCTACATTATTCCAGGGCAGACTGGGCTGGGTGCCCCAGACAGATGGGTCTTTGCACTCATGGAGGCCAGGACCAGGAGAAAACTACCTGACCAGGGCCAGGTTTTGTGACTAAGAAAAACTAACTGGTGGGGTGATCATCCCGCCCTTTTAGGGACCCAGAGGGGGATTCCAAGACTGCTGAACCAGCAACAGGTCCCTAGGGCAGTTTCTCGCCCCTTGTACCAGGCACAGACAAGACAGAGGTTGCGGTCTTGGCTCCTCTGCTGCTGACCACTTCCGAGCTCCCAGGCCATCACCGCCCCTCCTGGCTTCAGTTTCCCTTCTGCACTCAGGGGGTTACATCCCTGTTGTGCTTCCCTCCTAGCTTGCTGTGGGAGAATTTTTAAAAATATATTTAATTATTGATTTGAGGGAGAGGAAGGCGGGGGGGGGGGGAAGAGATTAAGATTTTGTTGTTCTGATTTATGCATTCACTGCAACCTTGGCGCAATGGAACGAAGCTCTAACCGACTGAGCTACCCAGTCAGGGCCTGCTGTGGGATTAAAAGATATAAAAGAGCTTGGTCAGCTATAATAAAGAGCCAGAGGCCTGGAGGTAATGAGCACAGCCTTTTCATAATTCCCTACCATCTTCCTCAGTCACTTCTCACCTGCAGAGGATCTGAAAGCACTTTACACGTTATGAGTTCATGAAGCCCCAGATCAGCCCTAATCAGTTTTGAGGAACTCAGTGGGAAACCCAGACCCAGGCAGGGGTGGGCTGGGGCCTCACAGTGTAGCTATGGGGTAAATGGAGGCACTGTTCTCATCCTACTCACTCCGGAGACTTGGGTCCCAGATCCACGCTGAGGATGGTAGGAAGCTGGGGGACGGTGTGGTGAGGGGAGGGAAAGGAGTAAAGAAGCCTCAGGCGCTTCTGCATCCTCAGTCTCTAGAGCAAAACTTTCAATACTGTCCAGGTCCTAGAAAGAACTCTCAGAGTTCCCTTATTCCAGGTAAAAAAATTCCAGAATCTCTCATGTCTTCCCAAACCATACTCAAACACCAAGCTCTCTTGGGGTCCAGCCGCAGCATTTCTTTTTCCCCTTCCCTAAGCACCCGCTCCCCCAACCCCGCAATCTTCCAACCACTGCCAGTACCTCGCTCTAGAGAACCGAACACCCTTTAGTGGCCCCGCTGGGACAGAATCTCAGTACCGCCCCCACCGGACCCGCCCCGCAACCCCGCCTTCTCGGTCCCGGGCAGTCCGCACGACCCCGGGGACTCGGGGCCACCGTCTCTCCACACCGAACCTCGCCCTCCTCCAGCCGCGAGGCGCTCAGGCCGGGGCGGCGGGGAGGGGCTGCAGGCAGCGCCGCTCCCGCCCCGCGGCCGCTCCCTCTCCGGGCTCCGTCCCTCCGGGCGTCCCCCACGCCCCGCCCGCCGCCGGTCGGCCCCTCCTGCCGCTCGCTCGCTCGCTTCTAGCTTGCTCGGCCTCGGCCGCCCAAACTTTTCTCGGGGCGCGTCTCCCGCGGCAGCCGGCCGCCCGACCCACGCATGGGCGCCCCCCCGCAGGGGGCCTGACCCCGCCGCCAGGTCTGCCCGCCGCGCCATGGCGGCCTGCGCGCCCCCCGCCGCACCTGCGGCGGATGAGCCGGGGGGTCCTGGCGACCCCCCGCGCAGGAAGAAGTCCCGCTCGGGAGCGTCCGGCCTCCGCCGCGCCTTCAACTGGCTGCGGGGCAAGAGGCGCAAGAAGAAGGCGGTGGGGGCTGAGGGCGCCGAACCGGCCGCCCCCCGGGGCAAGAAGGCGGACGACAAGGCCAGGAGGGCCAAGGGCAAAGGCCGAGGTAAGGCGCCGGGCGCCTGGGCTGCGCGCTGGGCGGCGGCCAGGATGGCTCCGCTGGGGGTCCGCGGCTCTTGGAGGGGGACGAGGCTAGGCGCCGGTGCTGGGGCAGTGGAAAGGCCCAGGGCTTAGCCCAAGCAACCCTATTCTGCGCCGACCCCCAGCATTTCTTATCTATACTCAGCTTACACTCTACACTAAGGAAGGAGGGGGAGACCCTCGGGTAGGGCTGGGATCCCTGGCCTAAGCAGGAAGTGCTGGGAGTCTGGCTCCTGGGACGGTAAGGCAATTCACCATCCCTTAGGCTCACCCAGGTTCTTCCCTCTGCTGAGTCAGGGGGTGAGAAATTGAATCTGGCCTGGGGCCAATGGGAGAGGCTAGTGGCCCTGTGGCTTTGGTGGTAGTGGTGGGGGTGGGGTGGGGTTCCCTCTGGGTCTGGAAGGTCACCTGCATGCAAAAGGTGTTTCAGTTGACTAGGTGGATCTGAGTTTCCAGCCCCATATGCTTTAGGTTTTTAAAAGCTAGCAGTGTTGCCTAGCCGGGTTGCTCAGTTGGTTAGAGCGTTGTCCCCATAAGCCAAGGTTGCGGGTTCGACCTCTGGTCAGGGCGCACATAAGAAGCAAACAATGAATGTAAAAATAAATGGAACAATAAATCAATGTTTTTCTCTCTCTTTCTCTCTCTTCCTCCCCCCCCCTCAAATCAATCAATCAATAAAATAAAACAAAGACTTAAAAGAAATCTAACAGTGTTAGCTTTTCCCACCTGGTTCCTGTCACCACTCACCTGGGTCAAACCACAAACATCCACCTTCCAGGGTGGTGAGCTCGCCCATGTGAGCCATCCACCCCTCCCCTTCACTCCTTTCACTCCTTTCCCCAGCCATGTTGGAAACATGCCTGTGTCGGACTTGTGCTTACAGATGGGGGAAAGTGAGGCCCAAGTTAATCGAGAGGCTGTATCTGCGCAGGATGGTGCTTAAAATACAGCAGCTAATCCCTGGGCTCCCTCTGGCCTGAGGGATGGGCAGCCCAAGGGGAGGCTGACCTGGCCCATCCCTGCTGGGGTCACTTTTCTTTTGGCCACTTGCTTGATTTCTTTCTTCATTTCCCTCTGTTTTTGCCTCTCATTTGAGGGGGAGGGTATGAGTTTCTGCGAGAGGGTGGGGCTCCCTTGGGGCTTGCCGTGCTCCGAAGTCTACCTTTACTTCGCTTCTGCTGCTGCACTGCAGGTGAGGAAATGGCAGTGCGTTCGGCCCATCCCATTCTGCCTGTATTTACCCTCCCAGCGTCCTTTAATCATCTCCTCTGGAGGAGAATTGAAGGAACACTTTAGGGATCAGGAAGAGGGTGAAAAGTCTCTTGTGCGATGCCATCCGACCTGATCATGCTTTTGGATAAGGGTCTTGCTCCCCTGCTGCTCAGCCGCAGCTAGAAGTCAGGGTGCTGGGGCGGGGATGTCTGGGCTAGGTTCTGAGGGAGGATTTGGTGAGGGGTGTCTCCAAGGGCTCTGCAGCCCTGACAGGACCGGGGGCTTGTCCAGGGCTTGCCCGCCTGGGGTTCAGTCTGAAGTCGTCCCTGTCTCACTCAAGAAGGCATGGGTCAGTATGGCAACAGGATGGATTGCAGTCAGACTATCAGGATTGGAGATAGGAGGCTAGTGGTGTACCCCACAGCAATGGACCAATCTGGAGGCAGAGGCTGGAAAAGCCCACCTGTAGGTCCCTGCTCCAGCAGCCTGGGTGAGAGGTCATTGGGTCAGTGGTCAGGCCTCCCCTTGCCTTGTGTTTTGGTGTCAGGTAGCACCGGGCTTTCTGGGCAGCAGGTCAGCCTGATGTGAGCCCACGTGCAGGAAACACCTCCCCTGCCCCTGGCTGTTGTTTCCACAGGTCTGGGGGTGGCTCCAGGTACAACTGGAGGAAGTCCTGGTCCCTTCTGCCCCAACCTCCTATTATTCAGTTGTTTCCTTGTCACCTGCCTGGCTCTACTTCTTTTCTGTTTATTAAGAGAAATAAATCTGATCTCTCTAATCTCCACTGGCACCGCTGGTCCGGAAGGGGAAGCTCAGAGAAGGTTTAACTCTTTCTGGGGAAAATCTTCAAATGGAGATTGGGAGAGACAAGGAGGAGAGATGCACAGGAAATTCCTGGGAGTTCGGCTTTTGTTGCGAAGGCCATTGTCTCCCCTGTCCCCTTCTCTGAACCGAAAACCCAGAGATGCAGGTCTTGGCTCCCTTAAACCGAGGCCCCTCCTATAAGACGGGAAGACTGAGTTTGGAATAGAGTTTTGAGCTCCTGTCTTCTGGAATCCCTCTGCTCTCCCCACTTCCCTGCACAGACTTAAAAAGAAAAGAGAGGGAATTGGACATTTATTGATTATTCTGAATGTGCCAGGAACCCTGTATCCATTATCCCTTTTGAACCCATTTGTAGATGAAAAAATTGAGGCTCGGGGACAGTGAGTGAGCAATTTGCTTAAACCAGTGGTTTTCAACTGGTGTGTCGTAAGAATTTTAAAAACATGCAATACCTGACTGTTTAGTCAGGGGCACTGACCTCTTTTCCCTTAGATTGTCAAATAAAAAAAATGACAACAGCCAACATAACAATAACTTTCTGGTATGATTGAATCAAAATTAAAGCTATTTTTTGTCATATCAGCAAAAAATATATTTTTTGTTATGCCACAGAATTTTAGTAATTAATTTCTGTGTGCCATGAGATGAAAAAGGTTGAAAAATTTCTGATCTAAGGTGGGATTTGAATTTAACTCATCTGCCTCCCAAACTCGTACTGTTTACATAACATTCCCAGGGACATGGACCACTGCAGGGATTGAAGGTCTTCTCACCCAACCCATTCTACAGATGGGAAACGCCTAGAGAGAAGTGAGGCAACTTGGTAGAGTTGGAAAAGTCGGGGAAATGAGAATTCAAATTCTGGCCCAGAAAGCCCTGTGACATTGGGCAGGCCACTTGTGATGGCCTCCCTGAGTCCATTGTTTCTGGAAAGAGGAGGGACATTGCCTTGATGGATCTGTAACCTTTCCATCTCTCCAAGATTCTCAGAAGAGAGAGTGTGAAAATTATATGAAAGTGAAGTCACCATAGAAATGCAAGGGGTTGCTGTTATTGTGTTTTTAAGTTTAATTACCTGTCACTTAAGGACCCTGTCTGAAAGCATGGGCTCTGAGGCTGATTGGATAACTCTGCTGCCTTGGTCTGCGTCCCTCCGGCCACAAGACACCAAGACACCAAGACACTGGCCTGTTTTTAGCCCCTCCAAGCCTCAGTTTCCTTATCTGTAAAATAGAGACATTAAATCCTGGCTTTACCGGGCTGTTTCAAGGATCAAATTAGATAACAGACTGAGTGCTTTGAGCTCTAGAGCATGGTCCAGACAGTAGCAGGTTCTTGGTATTAGCTAAGTTCATCCTGATGCATGTTTGGAAAACAACTCACTTGGTTACACCTCATGTACTGATGATTACTGAGGGGGATCCACAGAAGCCCTGTCTTACCTTTGTCCAGCAGGAGGATGCAGGCATAAGAAAAGGTAAACAGGAATCCATATTTTCCAGAAATATCATTTGGTCTCTAGACAAGTGTGGGAAGGAAGTGTTTCTGGGCCAGATGCCAGGACTTGAGCCCAATAATCAGGGGAGGCTTTCTGTAGGAGGCGAGCAGGGTGTGGGAGAAGGCAGGGTGCTGGCTAATTTGAAGAGAAGTAACATGAAGCTTCTATCTATGTGCCAGGCCCTGGCCAGGCATTTTCATGAATGTTTTCCCTGTCCTCAAAACAACCTCGGAGATAGGCATTTATTACCATTTATAGGTGAGGAAATAGGCCCCGGGGCGGGGGCGGGGGGCGGTGAAGTAAGTTGATCAAGGTCATTCAGCTTCATTCATCTGAAAAAGACATAGTCTTTACTATATAGTGTTCAGCGCTGTTCAGGGTAAGATGAATACCTGGGCCAAGACAGGCAAGGTCCTCACCTGCATGGAAGTGATGTTCACAGCACGGCAGTGACAGAAGCACTCGTTTTGCTACCAGATGCCACACTCTCCTAACAAATCAATATGAGGCTGGATGTGTTTCTGACTCTGGAGAGGAATAACCGTTGTAGCATCTCAGACAGCACCAGCTTCAGGGAAAGGAGTCTTTAGCCCTCCCGAAGGTTTCTCTTGGGGAATGGGCAGTGGCTGGGGGGCGGGGGTGGAATGTGGATGGCTCCTGCACCGATGGTGAGAATTCAGGAGCCATCCTGCCAGGCCCAGCAGATTTAACCAGGGGAACTCTGGCTGCTCACTCAGGGAGAACCGCCTCTGGCGTGGGGCTGTGGAGAGACTCCTGAGGTTGCGGTCTGCTCTGCTGTATGGCCTGGGCAAGTCCTGCCCCATTCTGGGCCAGACATGACCTGTCTTGACAAAGAGAGGGTTTTACGGCCTCTGAGATCCTTTTTAGTTCTAGAATTCTGTGCGTTTGAGAATGGGCTGAAGGAGCAAGCTGGTAGGGGCTGGGGATGTGGGGGTGGGAACAGGGACCCGAAGAAGAGAGCCTCCCTTTGGTCCTGGACAAGTCATGGGGACCCAGGGGCCTGGATATCATAGGGAGGTGGGTGGGGAGAGTACAGTCTAATAGTGCCATGCCTCCCTGTTGAGGAGCCTGCCTGTGTGTCATTCAATGGGATAGTGATTTCCATAGAGGAGTCTGGGTTCATTTCCTGCTGGCCCCTGTGAAGAGATGCGCATTGTCTACCTTGGATCCAGGAAGGAGAGGGAGCCTCACTACTGTATTTCACAAATACTTACTAAATATTTAATATTAGGTATAAGTACCTCCTCTGTACCACTGTCTTGGGGGGATGAATGAGAGGCAAGGTCCCAGTCCTCATGAACCTCACAATTTGAGGGGGGCAGGCACCAAGATCAAGGAGGCAATGAAGGGTCAAAAGATGTGATAAAAGAGGGAGCACAGTGATCCCTGGGGGAGATGGGGGATGGCTT